ATTGTTCTACTGACATTGGTGGGCCATGAAGTACCTTCAGAATTCATCGTATTTTCAGCATTCATTCCATCATTACTTATCCTTCCTAATTGATCTGAAGCTAGATTTCAACAGGAACTTTGTGTTATCTTGATCTTTGGACAACCTACTCTACAAAAGGCAGTTAACTTTTACTATCAAAAACCCTCACAAATTCATATTTCAAATTACCTGGGACATTCTTGTAAGGAATGCCATTTTTATGGTGAGCAGTTAATGCAGAAACTATGACTCAGAGATAGAGTGCAGCTTGGGGTTCTCATTCAGTGGCAAAAAGGGTACAGTAGCATTTTCAAAAAGAAAGGGAGTTCAGGCTGACTGTCTAGACCTGATGAAGTAAAGGAAGATATTAACAACTGAACAGTAAATGGCTGTTGAGCATGGTAGATGCAGAAAAACATCAGTGACTTGAGAACACAGTGTCTCAATCACTAAAATAAATTAAGGTTGCCAGGAGTCACCCAATTCCCCAGCTTCATGCCAAATTGTTCAAAGTTTAATAGGCAAAATTAGATGCTTCCTTCAAAATGATCCTTCATCCCAAAGAAAAATATGTATATTTTCTACTTAGTTAAAATGTCAACCAGCAAAACTTCAAAATATTAAGATGGGCACGAGGGTTATTGTTTTCTAGTTCCATTAATCTATCTAAAGCTTTCTTTAAGCACCACATTATATGCCCCTGTTAAAATTAAGATGCTTGTTCCCACAAAACTAGCATTTCTTTGCTCCTGAAATTAAAGAATGGTAGAAAATCCTACATGGAGGGGCAGAAGGAACGATGAGAATTTCACAAGCTGTGTGTTAACAACACCCACAGGTTGAAGTATGTTATAGCTTTGTTAAGTGGTAAAAAAAAATCAGGACCATGAAAATTACTATTTTATGGTACATGTAACTGACAACATGCATGTTCATTGATAATGGAATTACTACAAAAACATGAATTTCATCAGTGTTTTTTTCATAACTAGTCAATGAAATATAGATGGGTAATATAGGTGTGTAATTACATTATTCTCTTTGAAGAATTTCCTCAGTGTTGGTACAACTGACTACAAGCAGTTTGAACATACCACAGTACCAGAGCTTCTTTGAGGTCAAGTATTAAATGGGAACCAGGTTGGTGTAATGTCTTTCTCCACTTTCACAGTTATAAGCCTGAGATGTCTGAGAATTCTTACTGCATTCCACAACCCATTTAACTCCACAACAATTCTGTTAAAGACTGATGTAGAGCAAATGAATCGAAGACTACAATTTCTTTCTCATTTTATTGCAAGTCTGCATAACTTGCTGGAATATCAATAACCAGTTCCTTAATCTAACAATTATACAAATGGAAAAGTGTATGATTTAATGTATCTTATCAATGGGACAAAAACAAAGCAGACAAATGATTAACACAATAACACATAGGAAAAAAGAATAAGAAAGGCATTTTAATGTGTTTAGAAAGTTGCTGATGCAATGAAAATACCAGTGTATGACAGTTTAAATTTGATGCAGTCAGACAGGAACATCTGTTCTTCAACTAATTCACAGATATAAGTAAGTGAACAAGCAATATTTTTAGTTTAATATTTCCAGCACAGTGAACAGAATCATAAGACTCTATATAAACGTGTGATTTTTGTCACCCCTGAAGTTACAGGCTTGGATCCAATAGACTACTTCCACAACTTTCAGCCTCCCAGGAGCAGCATTTGGGGCGGGGGGGGGGGGGGGGGGAGGTGAAAAAATCATGCTCTGGGAAATGTTCAGATTGATCCAAGTCACAGAGCCAACTAGAGCATTTAAGGTCTAATCAACCTGCTGTTGTAAGCTGTGTATATGTAACCAGAAACTCTTCACTGACTTAAACAGGTTTCCACAAAACAAAATAATTCTTCCAATCAGTTATGCATGAGTAATTCTCATTGTCTAAATTCTGTTCATAGAACAATAACTAGGATTAGGAGTGCACATCAGCTCTTTGGGATGTATGAATAAGAAATAGCTTCACTTATTTCAGAGGGGTTAGCCTGGTTTCCACCAGCTGAGGAAGCAACCCTTGTCATGACTTCCTCAGTCAATGGCACTCAACTAGTCCAAACTACCAATGATTGCAAACAGAGCTTTGTTTAAGGCGCAGAGAACATGACTATTGGACATTTGGATATTTCTGATCTGATGCTGTGTATTCAGCATGCTGAACAGAATTGTCCAGAGACTGTCTCCCTTATCATTTGTATGTTTTAAACAGGGGTGTGTATTCAACAAAATCTGAGCTGAACAAATATCTGAAAAATACCTTACTAGTATTTTTTGGCTATTCTTTCAGCTGAATATGTATATTTGGCCATTTTTCAGCTATCTGAAATGGCCAAGCCCCCAAAATCCTGAAAATATCTAGCACATTTCGGAACCACCAGATAGTCAAAGTTAAAGGACGTTTAAAGGGACTGCAGGCCCTTTAAAGGCTTTCCATGTGAACTCAGCCCTTGGAGAAGGTGTTTAAAGGGACTGTGAGCCTTTTAAATGCCTTTAGAGTTCACTCACGGAGTCGCAGTTTGGAGAAGGCATTTAAAAGGACCACAATCCCTTTAAACACCTTTTTTCTTCCACTGAAACCAATGGAAGATGGGGCACCTTCTCTGAGGGCCACAGAATCGGACCCTCTGGTTCAATCTTTTTGAAACTTGGTGTTTTTTTAAGGAGAGGTACCAGTAGCTATGCTGCAAATTTGGTACCTCTAACTAAAAAAAGTCCAGCCCCCCAGAGACCCCTAGATCGATTCTCCATTATACCCTATTGGGACCATTGACTATAATGGTCCCCCATTGGGTATAATGGAGCAAAAAAAAAAAAAAATCCCGAATCCAAATACCATACTGTTATTGGGATTTGGAAATATCAGAAAATACTGATACTTTTCAGGTTCAATATACCTGAACCTGAAAAATACCATTTTTTTGCACACCCCTAATTTTAAAATATTAAGAAAACTACATAGCTACAAGGCTTTGCTCTACATTTCTGAACCACGAACACAAGAAATTTTGCAAATAGTGCAGTGCATTACATTAGTGTGCGGATATTTTACAGAAAGACCCTGATGTCAATAAGAAAAGTGACATTGATTTTCATCAAACTGGATGGACCACAACGTTTTCAGGGTTGCGGGAAGGTGTGCCCCTTTGAAGAAAAACAAATTTTAAAACCTGTAATACTTGTGTAGATATTACTCGTGTGTCCTAAAAATGGGAAATTAAAATAAATAAACTGTTGGAAATTATGTCCCAGATCAAAGATCTTTTCAAGTGTAAAAGAAGACAAGTGCCTCTGTAGAAGCTGTAAAAGATACACCCCTTACTTCAAAAGTGTGAACTGTGTAACAAGCCTAGAAACATCCCCCCCCCAAATTTTGTTACATGTTGTGGTGTAATTCTTTACAGATTTTACTTTAAGCATATAGTGGTAAAATACCAAGATTGTGGAAAACCTTAGGTGTGTAGATCTCACCTGCCCCTTTTCTCTGACCCGCAACAACTCAACTCCCCCCAAATTTGGATGAATTTGGATACAGCTTTGACAAACATAAAAATCTTCTTTAATGATGTTCCTCAAAAGAAAACAGTTAGCAAAATATCTGAATATCTGTGTATAATGTCACATTTAATGTAAACATCAAATAATGTACCTGGGGTAGAAAGAACTTAAAGCCACACAATTCTTTATACCACTAGAGAAGCCAGAGGAGGAGAAACCAGATTACATGCATATACACATGCATAATTGGGAGGGGGACCCAAATATTTTACTAAATTCACTCAATTGTTTGTTTTAAATAGTTATTAAACTACAAAGTACCCAGCCCAACATAATTGATTTTAATTTCATGATTTCTTTTAAAAAGCTATCAAATTAATCATCCCAACAAGCTAAAATAAGCAGCTTGTCCAAACATAAAATGTGTACTTTTTTCTTTTTTAGATTAATCACTGCTCTTTTTTTTTCTTATTGAAACTCTGAAATATTCAAAACAGTGGCATGTGGGGCAGCAAAGAAAGTTTTCACTTTATCCTGCACTTGGAGAACACTATACCACATCATACAGATTCTAAAACTATTAAAGTCTTAGAATGCAGCATCCCTTCACAGAAACCTGATCAAACTGAAAGTAAATAGAAGATGCTGCACCTTTATTTAAAAAAATTAAACAATTTAAGCAGACATAACATACATTTGTACATTAACTGGCCATTTCTGGTACAGAAACCCAGCATCATATACTAAATGTTATTGAATAAATGTAAATGCTACTTACAATTTCTTTAAATACAATTTAGACAATTTTTTTTAAATTGTTTTATATATTTTTTTTAAATTTGCACAGTTAACCTTTCAGCTGCTAGCTTTAATGCAACACATATATAATGTTACACAAATTATTATTTTTTTAAAAAAAGAAAAAAATGTGTCTTTCTTTTAGGGAAAAATTTCAAACTTCTGACCCACATCAAAAATGCAAGATAATGGAATACAATTTTAAAAGGTTAGCTTTAAGTCTAGCAGCAAAGCAATTAAACCAAGATACCATTACTAATATAAACAAAGAGAAATGGTGGCAACTGCAGGGGGGAAGCCCCAACTACCTTATACGGACACAAACAGAAATTAAAATTTCTCTACAAAAATATTCTGATTATTTAAAATAGGAGTAAAAGCCATTGCTACCTGATGAACTACCTAGACTAAGTTCCTGAAACAAAGACAAAGGATCACTATTCTTTTTTGTCTGCTCAGGAGGGGGTTTCGGCTTTGGTGGAGCCCTCAGAGCACTTGCGTAGGACATGGCAGGCTTGTTCACACCGGCACTCTGCTGGCTGTTGCTGTTGGATTCTGCAATCTGCTTGTTGGGCATGAGGGGTGGGAACTGGCCGAGATGTTGGAGCATATTGTAATTAAAAGAATTGGATAACTGGATGTTTTCACCTTTCATTGGTTCCTCTGGGGGTTTGACAGTCTTCGATGGAACTGGAAAGAGACAGCAAAGGGAGCCATTTTAACAGAATAACTTTTGCCAAGTAACTGGGGTAAAAACAGAGAAAGACTTCTACCAGGTTTCCCTTTTCCTCCAAGCGAAACATTAGAATAATAGCCACATAATTTAAAAAATGTGTGGTGTTCAAAATACTCAAAGTGAAATGGATAAAAAAAACAAAACATAGTCCTGACACTATCCCCTAAACATGTTGTATGTTGTTGAGAGGCATTAAAAATAAACCTATGACACAAACTGAAAAGATTTCGACCAAGATCACTTAGTCTTTCTACAAATGTAATTAACAAGCAATGAAGCATCTGTGGTAGCAGCAATAATTTTTTAGAAAATGTTTGTATTGCAGACTTTAAACTGAATACTCCATTAATCTCACTGACATTTTGAAATAAATGAATTGTAGCCTTAGGCCCAAATCCTTACATAATAAAGCCCTCTTTCTTGAAGCTACCCTCTCCCTCACAGTTCTATTTCAAATGTTGGCTTATAATGTGACACACTGAGGAATTTCAGACAGACGATACAATCTGGAAGAGGAACGGTTCCCTTACGGTTTCTGGTCTGTCATTTCAGACAGAACCGTTTTAGAACCAGTTCCCTGCTGGAATATATTTGTAATTTCAGACACAAACGCTTCTGTCCCGTTTAGGAAATGGGGCTGAAGCGTTTTACCTGTCAACCGCTTCCAAGTAGTCTTCAGTTTCCTCTCCCGGTTCCGATGCGCTTTTTCCTGCCGTTTTTCGCCCGCGCGGGCGATCTCCAGCTTTTTAAAAAAATGTTTGCTTTATAGCGTTATATAATGCTATAACGGAACAGCAGTATATCAACCCCATTGGAATGCCTGGAGTGTTTTGTTATATTGCTATAGCGCTATAGTGCTATAAAGCGAACGCCCCCCCCCAAAAAGCTGGAGATCGCCCGCATGGGCGAAAAACTGCGGGGGGAAAAGCGGTGCAATCTGAAATGGCAAACTGCTTCAGATCCAGCTCTTTACCGGAAGGGGAAAGCCATGTGTGAAATGGCAGCCCTATACCGGTTTACTCCATGATGGAACAAAAACTGCTTCAAAACGGGTTTAAAAGGGTTATGTGAAATTCCTCAATGTTTGCACAAAATGTGTGAAGGAAGCAACTGTTGTTTCAAAAAGAAAGAAAAAAAGGCCCATTGCGACCACTGAACACTGTTTATTTCCAGCAGTGAAGATTTAAGTTCTTGTGTCTTCAAACTGTCTCAGTGTAAACTAAATATTTAAATTTTGGTTTCTGAATGCCAATGAATCAAGTAGGAAATTTCCAAAGTCTAGAAGTAATCTATAAAATAATCTAGTCTACTTTAATAACTACTTTAATAATGTGTTTCCTAGATTACAAAAAAGCTTTTGACTATAGGGATCATGAAAAGCAATGGGTGATTTTAAAAGGAAGGAATGTGCTACGACATCTGATTATTTTGATGCTAAACTCATACTATGGAAAAGAGGCTTCTATTAGGACAGAATTTGGAGAAAGAATGGTTCCAGTTGACAGAGGTGTCAGACAAGGATGTATTTTATCTCCCTATCTGTACAATCTATATGCAGAACATATAATAAGGAAAGCTGGATTAAATTTAGATGAAGGTGGAGTGAAAACTGATGGAAGGAAAATTAATAATTTGATATATGTAGATGAGACCACACTGGAGGTGGTGGAAACTGCTGTCAAGTCACAGCTGACTTATGATGATCCCGTAGGGTTTTCAATGCAAGAGACATCCAGAGGTGGCTTGCCATTGCCTGTCTCTGCATAGCGACCATGGACTTCCTTGATGGTTTCCGATCGAGGCTGACTGTGCTTAGCTTACTGGCAGAAAATAATGTGGATTTCAAATTACCACTGATGAAGGCTAAAGCAGAAAGTGTCAAAGCAAGATGACAGATGAACATCAAGAACACAAAAGGTTGGACAGGAGCGGACCTGTGCAGTCGCACCCAACATAGCTGCCGTGTTGGGCTCCTACAAAAGAATTAAAATTAAAAAAATGGGCTGCAATTTAAATATTACAGCTTTACCAAAACAATGGGGAGGAATAGGGGAGCAAAAGGTGACAAGATTTCCTCCAAACCGATGTCTAGAGCAATGCAAGAAAGCCAAAACTCTTCGGACGATGAACCCCCCCCCCCGTTGGAAACGGAGGAAGCAGAGGCTCGTGCAAGCAAAAGGAAAAGAGAAGATTCCTTAACCAAAAAGCATTTACAGGAGATGCTTACAAACTTAAAACAAGATTTAAAAGAAGAGATAAGAAACAGCATTACTCCTATTATGAATAAGTTGAAGTCAACAAAAAGCTGCAGGAGGCACAGGAGAAGGCGGAGACAGCAGCTGCCAGTATGCAAAAGAACTCTAAAGAAATAGCTGAATCGAAAACTTTTGAAGGATGGGCGAAAAGCAAGCTAATGCTGTTAGAAATTAAATCACAGGAAACCAAAGTAAAATTCCGTGGAATTTCTTTGAATTTTGATTTAAACAAGGACCTTATTGTCGCTTTAAATGAGTGGTTAGAAGGAATTATACAGCTTCCAGGGCCAGTGGTAAACAATGCTTTCCGTGTAAACCCTCCCCAAATGGGCTCGCCAGCACTGATACCTGATATCGTGGCAGATCTTAAGGACACAAAGACTAAGCGGAACCTCTTGGAAATCGCCAGGAAAAACAAAGGTCTGAAGCTTGAGGACACTTTGGTCCAGCTGTACCCAGATATTCCTTTTGAAATACTAAATGCCAGGAAAAATATGCGCCCAATTGCACAAAAGCTTGCAGAGAAGAACTACAGGTATTGTTGGCTTCTGCTTGGACATATATCGGTTACACACCAAGGAAAAATATTCACAGCCCATGATTTAACATCTGGTGAAGAGCTTCTGAAGGCATTGGAATTGTACTTGGGCTCCAAGAACTGGTAACTAAAAGAAGAGGAATGTACTATAAGACTGTAAAGAACTGCATCGGAGGAGATTTTTCTTTTGCCTTATATACTTCCCCCCCAAGTAAAGTAGCCTGGAATATAAAGTGTAGGGGAGCACGCTGGAAGGAACATTGGGATACTCCCCACACCTCCCCAATGGACAAGACTCTAATCGAGAGTCTTCTTTGGAATTGTTCCGGAGTCCTGGGAGAGGGAACGCCGATTAGAAGAGCTCCAGTTAAAGAGGAAGAACAGAATTTAGTAAAAGATTTCAAGAGAGCAGAGTAACAAAATGGAGGAATATATTTCTTTCTTACCTTATTTTCTATCTTACTTTATTATAATTCATTTTATTATATTGATTTTGATACAAAATATATACAGAATATATGGTTATAAACATAAGGAGATCCAAAGAGAAATTATGGGAGATAGGGTTTATAATTGCATTTGTACTGAGTAATTTTGAGAGGCAGAAATATTTACTTAGGCATGCCAATTACTATCGGATTTAATTAATGATTATAATTTATAAATGAAGTAGAAGCAGAATAGAATTGGCAACTTGTAAAATAATATTATTTAAGAATGTTAAATTCATTTCCTGTTGTAGAATAACTTGTAATTAATTTGTAAAAGTTTGAAATTAATAAAAATTTAAGGGGTCTCCAGGCCCCTGATCATCATGGTTGCTTTCCATTGCACCCGCTTCATCTTGTCTGGCCTCCAGAACTGCACACATAACTCTAGGTGTGGCCTGACCAATGTGGTATACAGCCGCACTATGACATCTAGCAATTTGTATGTTATGCCTCTGTTGATACACTGATAGGACATTTTTCCCTAGACCAGCTGATAATCCTCTTGAAATACTGCTTCCAGGGTTTAGGAGACTACAAGGACCAGCACTGGGCAAAATGTGGGGTTCTACAATAGAAAGGGGGAACTGGTGGGAATTGCCATCCCCATTCCAGTGACAAAAATATCTTTCCAATGGCAGAAAACAGCCATTGTACCAGCCAGTGAATTTTATATCACTAACTTCATTTAATCTAAGTTTGAGTTCAGTTTGTTCTTCTGCTTCAGACCAACATGGCTACCCACCTGAATATATCTTCATTTAATCTAGTAACACACACTGTATTAGTAAGTAGCAAGTCATCTTATCAAAGAAAGAATTACGCAGCCATGTTTTTGTAGCACAAAAAGATAAAAACTCAAAGATTAAGCTGTGCAGGAAGAGAGGGAAGGAAACGTAGCTTTTCAAATGAAGTAGACTGAGTTGTAAAGATGAGTGGAAGGAAGCACTTACCTAACAGTTCTCTTGATGGGACTGTTCTACTGGAGCCATTGCATGGAATGTTCTGATATGGGGTTGATGAAGTGGAGTTTACCCACAATTCAGGGGATGAATAATTGAAAGAGGATGGGTTACTATGGTCCTGAAGCTCTTTACACTGTCCAAGACTGTCTTGAGGCATGTTTAAATCTTCAGAACAAGCCTGGGCTGAACTAGATGAAATTCTTCTTTGGTACAATGGCCTGCCTGGTCCTCTTGGTTCATACTGCAGGAAAGGGAAAGAAAAAGGGAATCTTTAAGGCACTTATCACAGCCAATTTAAGGCAAATATCACAGCCAATTGTCAACATTTGTATTCAAATATCACGGTCACAAGTAACATTTACCTTTTAAAAACGAATACAATTCTTAAGTTGCCATTTCCCCTTTTGTTTCCTTACACTCAGAAGTTACACCCTACTGGCTTGAAGAACAGAAAAAACTACCACTCAAATGAGCCACCTTTCAATATTAGTGGGCATCAGATTAAAACACTTGTTCAAAGGACTAATGATTTATCAACTTGTCTTTCAATCATTATTATTTTTACCATAATTTTCCTTCTATTGGCTTAGCAGTTTTGTTTATCTTGAGAAAAAATACCTAGGTAGCACACAGCACAATCTATTATTCTGTTTTGCAAGCACATTTTTCTTTTCCACATTAAGGATTTTTCTTCTATTTCTCTGTTGTATAGGAGATAAAAGCAAAAATGATAACGGAAGCAAAAGGAATCTGGAAAGTAGCAAAAGATAAAATAGTAAACATTGATTCCACAACCCACTGTGAACCAGGACCATAGAAAGTATCATTATGTATTCTACAAGTTTAAAAGCTGTATATATTCAAACTCTGTATGATGAATACATTTTGATGATTCACAGTTCAAAATCCAATTAATGAAAGCAGTAACCATCCTTTCCAGGTTACCATGTCACTTAAAAAGATACGCAGAAGATAAAACATTGTCTGTTGCTTTAAACTCTGTCAAAAGTACAAAAGGAGTCGAAAATGTACAGATTTAAGTATGACAATTCATATTACTTAAATAATCCATATTATTCAGATAAGGGTAACTCAGCTGAGCTCTGAGCAGGAGCAGGAGACAGAGCTGCTAGAGGGGTGAGTGTTTTTTTATTTGCTTTCAGCTGAGGGGATTCAGCGGAGAATATTGTGTGGGAGGACTGTGTTTGGGAGTGTGTGAAAGTGATTAGAGTTGTTGCAGAGTCCTGGCTGCTTGAGAGAGGGAGAGGAAGGGGCATTGTTTGACTGTGATTGACTGTAATTCAGTATTTAAGAAAGCACCTTGCCAGAGGCACGAGCCAAAGGGCGAGCTAAAGGGCTCTTTGCCTGTGGCTCTTAGCCTAGGGACTCTTAGACTAGGGGCTCTGAAAGAAGCCCAAGAAGAGCTAGAAAGCCAAGGCCCCAGGCTCTCTGTCTTCCCCGTAATTTGACTTTGACAAGAAAAACCACATAAATACAAAGGGTTTTAAAAGGGGGATTATATTTACTTATTTTAAAAGAATTATGAAGCCAGAATGCCAGCAGGAGGTTGGGGGCTATACAGTGTTTTGCATGGAGTGTCACATGTATGACTATCTGCCCACTGGGCAGAAGTCTTGGGTGTGTGCTCGGTGCAAGGAGCTCCTGGTTCTCAGGGAACGTGTTTGCTCCCTTGAGGCCAAGGTGGCTGACCTGGAGAAGCAGAGACAGTCAGTTAGGCACACAGAAAAGACTCTCGGGGACTTGATAGATATGTCCCACTCTGGATCTGGCAGCCCCGCC